TACTCTATTCCTTTACGTCTACAAAATCCAGCCACTCACCATCTGATACATATTTGTAGCTTGGGAGCAATTTGGATTTCCTGCGATTCCATTTCTAACTAGCCCCTTTGCCAGTTGCGACCTGTAAAAAAAAATATCAAACTTTTCAGAATAAAGAGAGAGAAAACTCTGAGAGAAAACTGAAATGTGGTTATTTCATAATGAATGCTCGCAAAGGAGTATGTTTAGTTGATCATAGAAACTCTATTGATGAAGCCATAGCACAAGAATAAAGACGTGTGAAAGCAGCTTCAAAATTGCCGTGCTAGTGTCAGGCTGCAACGTCCATTGATCAGTACGGGCACGTGTATTCCAGCACGGCGCTGGCACATTATTGGCAGGGAAATCCGGAAGCAGCCCAAGAACTGCAGAAGGCACTGCCTAGCGAAGATCGCTAAGATAGAAGACTACTTATTTTTTACATCACAATCTATCTCAGTTGCAGCCTGCAGGTCGTCGTTGGTTCGCTCAAGTCTCTATCCCCCTCCACCTTTGTCTTCAAATGCGCTCTAATGCTCATACCTGCGATAGTTTATCATCTGAATAACTTTGTCTCGCATTTCCTGAGTCATCCCAGTAATTGGAATGGTTGTTGTCGTGTTTGGTGTAGTTGACGTCGCTGTTGTTGTAGTTAGTGTAGTTGAAGTGGTTGTTGTCGTAGTTTCTGAAGCTGAAGTGGTTGTTGTCGTAGTTGTAGTGGTAGTCCGAATCAGAGTAATGCTCAGGGCCCGGCACGCGTGGGTTTGGAGGTTTTAGGAAACGAAGTCCCCATGACTTCGCGAAAATTTAAGAAGTCCCTCTCGACGTGAAAATCAGTAGGGAAACCCTAATTCAACCAAAATAACAAAAAAGCGAAAAAAGCGCATTTTGAGGTATGTAATATAATAAAAAGCAAAAAGAAAACATTTCGAGTCGATTAAAGGTTCTATTGGGTATAGTACCATTTTGATGTTGGGAATGTCGAAAATCTCCTAGGCCAACCAAATCTGTAGCCTCAACAATCCTGTGATGCGTTTTTCGCCACATATTTCAAAGGACACCGCAAGTGATTGGAGCGCGATATCTATCAACGCGTAGAATTCTAGTACTTTTGACTCAAAAAGAGAAGAGAGGCAACGGTTTGATCCGCTCTCTTCATTATAGATAGATTTTTGACCGTTCTAATCGTCCAAATCAGGTTTAAAACTTATGTGAACTTTCCGATATTTATGCTCCGAACCAACCCAGTTGGTTTGGTAGTTGGTCTAGAAACCAACAAATTCGAGAACGGATATTAGGACACATAAGTTTTGGGAACTTTTTACATAACATAGTTTGGAGCAATATTGTATGCACATAGCCCAAATTCGGAGCCATATGATTGTTTGTGCGCTGTAAACAAGCCAATTGTTTGTTTGAATCTTGCATTTGAAATTCGCGCGCTTGCGAAAGAACACGTTCAACTCGTGAAACCTGACACAGGGCTCAGCACAGTTGGCACCGGGTCAGGCTGGATATCGTTTTCAGGGCGGAAAGCAAAGGGGATATCGTTTCTACAGGGCCGAGGCGGAGAACTGCCGCAAAAATGCCGCCGGCATGCCACCGGCATGCCATTGGCAAGCTGTCCATCAACAAACAAAGGCGTTGTTTTCAGCCAAAACGCAATAGTATGACATCAAATTTGGTGTGTGCATGCGCGTTGGTGGACCGGAACTACGGACCAAAAATTTATGAAAACTTATGTGAATGAAAGCTGTGCCTAACTTTTTTCTGAGTTAGCTGGCACCGTGCCAGCTGGGTGCCAGCTGAGCTGGCACCGACACTTTGCTCACATAAGTTTTCATACTTTAATTTTGTTATAAGGATTAAAAAAAATGATTACATAAAATGTATCTACACTGTAAAAGATTACATACGGAGAAGAAACTGTTTCATAATATTCTCTTTTCAGCGTTTTATAGCACACTCGGCCCGCTTCGCAATCGAAAAATCGGCTTTTTCTGCTTCTCAAGATGTGATTCGACCACTTAAAAAGCTCAGAAAGCTGTGAAAAGTTTTTTCATGAAATCGGAAAGGCATGAAAGCACTACTACATTTTTTTAAACAATATAAAAATGATGACGGGTTTCAAAACAGGTCAAAAGGGACTTCGTACGAAATTTTCAATATCAAACGGGACTTCGTTTTGAAATTTCCTTGGTGCCAGCTCGTGCGAGCCCTGACCTGACATGTTCGTTGTGTTTTTTTGGCGCTTCCTCCTGGAGCTCATAAACACGATGTCCCCGTTGCTTCTAACTCCAAAAAACGAAGCCCAGTTTGACCCCCAAACCGTCGGTGCCGGGCCCTGGTAGTGCTCGTAGATTGCGTCGAGGCTGTAGACGATGTTGTTTCAACTGAAAAATAAATTTAATAAGGTTATGTGGAATATTTAAAAAGTAAAGGGTGCCCCAAAAAGAGTCCCCAATGTTTAATCGCTGATTTTTAGCTTTACAATTCCGAACGGCTGGATTCAATTTAAGTTCGCATATCTTTGAGCGAACTACTGATCGTTCCTTACGGTAGGATTGCGGTAGGAAACCTTAAAAGGTTTTGCAAAGTTCAAGATCATCGTCCCAAATGTCCGAAAAACTGAAACTTTATAATCAAAAATGGATGTTGCTGATTTCGATGAGCATTAAGATAGGGTAGACCTTCGCTCCAAGTTAGCCCGCACCTAGAAAAAATTCAAACTTCCTTTAAAACCTGACCACATCATTTGCTTTGCAACCTGCACATATTGGCTAAAATCACGCCTCTAAAATCCCATTACAGAAGTAAGTATTTTGAAACTTTACTAAAATTGCAGTCAATTTGCAAAGGCGCCATCCTGCTAGGAGTCCTTACAGTGATCCCACAGTAAGAGAAAAGTTGCGTCACTGTATGTCCTTATCAGCCTCTTTTAGTCAAGATAGTCAAACTGTATGGATTACAAAACAGTAAAAGAATCAACATACAAAGGGGAGGGTGAAAATTGGTTGCGTAAGTGAGTCGTCACACGCAAGGAGTGGACGCGATTGCGTCCTACTTACAGTTAAATAGTGGGAACATGAAAGAGACAGCAGAAGGTAAGAGGAGTGAAAGAGCGCTTGATCAAGGAGATGCCGATGGCGTGGCGACGTCCTATCTTTGTCTTTGTGTGCAATAAATCGCATCTAACTTAGGCCCGTAGTGAACCTCGATCAAGGGAGATGATTTCCCCTGAGGCCTTCATATGAGGCTTCGTCAGGTGAAATGAGGACTGCCCGCTTTTTCATGCTGTAAGCATGCAAGGTCACCTCACCTTACAGGTAAGATTCAGATGAAGCTCGGCAGGGAGATCAGCTCCCGACTGATTCATGGGAAGTGAGCCGGGCGATGACATGAGGCCTTATGAGCCCTAAGAATTCACAAAATTAAATCAATCACATTTTGGGCAGCTATGAAATTTTAATGAATTGATAGCAAAGAGTCGTGGTATAACTTACCGCCTACTTCGGTTAGACTGGATTCACAAAGAGGTCCTAGGGTATTTTCTTCATTTTTCATGCATCTACCATCGGATACAACCTCTTTGCAAGTTTTATGTGCCGTGCATCCTTTCTTATTTTTCGGTTTCGGATTCGGTATATAGAGCGGCTCGCCAATTTTTGGGCTAAAAAAGCGAGAATAGCAGCAGCTGTAGCAGACAGTTAGGTAATCTTCTTAATTGTGCTAGTCTTTGATAAAAAGTGGATTAAATTTGATAAATAACTTACGCTGATCCGTACACACATGCAATCGTAAAAAAAAAGTAGCACTATCATCATTTTTGCAATTCTTGTGCGTACATCCAAAGGCTATAATATATCATCTAAAATTTTTATCACTTCAAAAAAATCTTCGGGAGCTCTCAAATATTCCTCCATTTACAATTTCATGCAAAAAGTGCTATGTTGGAAAAGCTACAGCTGCTTGATAGCATTGGGCCTACACTTAGAGTTGCCCGTGCTGACGCAGTTCCGCAGCTAACGCCTGCCGGAATGCCCGAGAGGCGCGCCTTGTGGATGCGGTGTTGGCACGCATTTGGATGGCGCTAATACAGCGTCGGTACAGTGGC